CTTACCCATCGGCAATTTCAGAAAACTTCATCTGATCAATCCAACCCTTTTAGTAAGCTTTCCTCAAGTACTTCCAGTATCTTTGCAAAGAAAATGAGGTCAACTAAATATACCAATACTTCCAAGCACGAGTCTTGACCACCTTCATAAGCCATTGAAAAGTGACAAAGGCCACAAAGATGCCTTGAGACACCTGCCCAGATTGGTGAAATACATGAAATCAAATTAAACTTCTTTTGCCATAGGAATGTGTTAATATCCATAGTGTAAATCCAATTCTGAAAATCACTGACTGCATCTTTTTTTTAAAAAAATGGAAAGATAATGAGTACTGTTCCGGACATATTGACTTTGAGATAATTGTGCTACATCTAAAGAAAGATATCTAATACAAATCAGGAAGACTGGAGCTAGATATGTACATTGGGGAGTCATCTACACAAAGATTACAATTGAAACCATGAGAGCTGATGAGCTCATGAAGAGACAGGGTATAGAGAAGAAAGAGGAAAGGGCCCAAAATAGGGCTTTGGTGGACACCCACAGTTATTGGGTAGGACATGGATAATGAACCAGCAAAGGAAACTGAGAAGGAGCAGACAAAACAGTATGAGTAAAATCAAAAGAGATTAGGAACATGAAAACCTAGAGAGGAAGAGTATAAAAATGAGTGAGTGATTAACAGTATAAAATGTTGTAGTGAAGTCAAGTTGAGGACTCTTTTATCTACTGACCTCCCTGACTTCTTTAAGTACCAACTAAAATCCCACCTTTTACTGGAAACTTTTACCAACCCTTCTTAATTCTAGTGCCCTCCTTCTATTAATGATTTCCTATTTATCCTGTATATAGCTTCCTTTGTACATTTGTTTACAGGCAATCTCCCCCGTTAGATTGTAAGGTCCTTGAGAGCAGCAGGGACTGTCTTCTGCCTCTCTTTGTATCCCCAATGTTTAGCACAGTGCCTGGTATATAATAGGTGCTTAATAAGTGTTTATTGATATTGACTGATGTTATTGACTAAAGTGGCATGAAGATGAAGGTCACAGGAATTGAAGAAGTTGATAAACCTAGTCCCCAAGAAGGTTTGTAAGAACAGTGATGTGTATTTTGAAGTCCCCTAGTCTAAGACCAGGATTGGGGAGAGAGGAAGACTTTGAGCTAAAGTATTGTGTTCTGCCAATTAAGAAAGTAGGGGTAATTACCTAAGGGTTAGTAGGAAACTGCTACCAGTATCTGTATAGGGTGAGTTTCAAAGAAGGAGAGGTTAATGATAGTGACAGAAGGAGGGTATGGAAACATCAGAGCAGGTAAAGGAGTTCCTCCTCTTGGGTCTAGTATCCCAAGTGGCATGGAAAAGTTGCATCCAATACCAAAGAGGATGGCCAGGGATATAGTGTCTTCTAGAGTGTCAAAAAAATAGAAAGAATATGAAAGAAAAAGATCTAAGCTCTTCTAAAGATGCAGAGTAGAAAGGTATAGAAAGTCATTCCAGAGGGCACAAAGGAAGGGCCAGGCAAAGCTGGACTGGGACTTGGGAGAAGAAGGATTGAAGTGAATGGGAATGAGAGAATAGGGAGTAGTAGCATGAAAAGTTAGGGGCAAGGGGGATAGTTTTCCTTGGGTGGGCAGGGAGCCTGTAGTATTTGGATTAGGAGAGGCAGAGGTAGGAGTCTACTAGTCATGGGATGGAACTATAATACCTATTGGCCAGAGTTCATTATCAAGAGACCTTGGGAATAGCTAAGAAGAGGGCAGAGTCAATTCTACTTTAAGCAATAGAGAAGAAGAGAGATCAGATTGTTTTCAGGGGCCTTTGTGAAGGCAGGATGCTGACAAGGATTGTTTCTGAGTCACTGGTCCCCAGATGGGTCCTTGAAGTCCTGATGTTGAAAACTCTAGTCCTAAGTGCGAAGGGCTTGATGCTTGGGGTTCGAAATGAGGGGGTCTAGTGAGCATGAAAGGTCTGGTCCTGGTTTGAGTACAAGAGGTGAGATTGAAGTTCTAGGTTAGGTCCTGTAGGGGAAAGAAGAGGTACATGAAGCTTTGGTCTTGGGCTGGGTCACAGTTGGAAAAAGAACATTTGCATTGATCGTAGCAAAGTAGTAATAATGAACGGAACTATAGTATTGATGCAGCGATTCAGGGCAGAATAACAGTAGATGTCGGGGCAATGGATTGCAGGGTAGAGGTCAAGGAAACTGGCCATAGTACAGTAAGACATGGCCCCAGGCCTCCCTAACAATGCCTGACAAGTCCCTACCTCTCCAGAGCCTCTTACTCTTTGCCATCTTAGATAGATAGATAGATAGATGGATGGATGGATGGATGGATGGATGGATGGATGATGAATGAGTGAATGAAGGAGTAACTTGTCCAGGGAGCAAGTAGCAGATCTGGGATTCAAAACCAGGGCTTCTGACTCCAAATTAGTGCCCTTTCCATTATACCACATTTCATGAGCCTGTGGCTAATAGAAATCATAGTACCCAACCCTGCCACTCATCACCTGTCTGAAATGTAACAATTCCAGAACACAACAAAAAAGGGACAGGAAGCTGAAGCCACTTCAGCCAGACAAAATAGGAAATGTCTAGAGACTAGATCTGATTAACCGGACTGGAGAATGTCAAGAAACCCACAGGGGTAGGGGTAGGGAGGCAGCAGCAGGAGGGATTTGGCCCAGGTTGTTGGTTTTACACTTGTCCTGAAAAGTGATCCTGCCAGCTGCTACTTGCTCCGAGAGTCCTGCAGGGCATTTGGCTCAGTGTTGGTCCAGTGTGTCACCAGCTGGATCATCAGGCCCTCTTTTCCCAAGCTTCCCCAGGTGTGCTTCTGAAGCCTCATCCAGATGCTCACACAACAACAGCCCTGCTTGGTGTGGGAGGTGAGGCAGGCTCCCTGAGCACAAAGGGATTGCTGTGGAGTGTTTATACATGCTCACAAATAAACATTCATGACTATTTCATTAAGCCGAATGACACACCTTTCCATTCTCGGTTTATTCATTATCTTCCATAAATAATGCCGTCCTTTAGTTGTGCTTCAAATGTCAAATCTAACCAAATGTGCAAACATTAATTATACTGTATTTTCAAATGTTGTTGTAAAGACAATCAGCCGTGTCACCATTAATGTCAAGTTCAGGAGCTGCTGCAGAGTTACAAGTAAATCATGGAAATTATCCACTTTTTCTATTCCTGTTCTTAAGCAAGCATTAATTTCTATTATTTGCCACGGTCTTTGTCCTGCTATTGACAGTAATGTGTTTTAAATATGACCTCATTGGAATAGAAGCCTGTACAAAATAAAGGAAATAAGTGTCAGAACTGAAGGGTTTCTCTCTCCCCCACCCCTTTTCTTTTTTAAGAACACAAGACCTCTGAGGTAAAGATGAAAGATGGACAAGTGTCAGGGCCATACCTGTCAATTGCACTGCCCTCCACTCTCTGCAACGGCAGGATGCTCGAAATAGCCACCTGTTTCCACTGAATGAACCCTCTTCAGTGAGCCAAAGATAGGCCAAAGGGTAGAAAACCCTACAGTATACCTCAGTCCAGAAATGATTGTTATTATTTTCTTTGTCCTAGCTATAGCCATTATTTTTGTCCCTGAATAGACCTGTCAGCATGGCAGCTGCTGCACTCCCACTGTGGCTCTCTGAACCATCTCCACTTTCCCTTAGCCTTCCACACTCTTAATGTCAGGCTGGGAAGTCCCTGTTTACCTTGCCAAGTACCACAACCATTTTGTCAAGAGAGGAAATAAAAAAGTTACCTCCCTGTCCCCCCCTCCCCCCCGGGGAGGCTGAGGCAGTCAGAGATTCAGCCCATAAATAGAATCCAATGATTGTAGTCATTCCCAGGAGCAAATGGAAAGAGAACTCTGGCTCTCTAACCTCTGAGCTCACAGCATTAGCACATGGCTGTACGCTAGTGAATCAGACATGCTATACTGCCTCCTTTATGATGCTCTCTTTCTTTCCTTCCCTTTCTGCTTTTCCATTCCACTGCTTGTTGTCGGAAATAGGGCCTTTTATCATTACTGATGCCTTACAATGCAACTGTGCTCTGAAACCAAACATACATCCCAGCTTGTCAGGGAAACTATTTTCGCCCTGGGATTCACAGAGTACTTGTTAGAGCATGGAGGCCCTTCAGTTGCATTTTTCACAGGAATAAAATTAAGGGGGCAGTGAGGATTGAAAAGGCAAACTTTCCGGCACTTGTATAGTACTTGCTTCCAAAGACAATGCTGGGAGCCAGCACCTCATCCAGAGCGCTGAGGAGCACTCCAAGGCAGTCAGTTCCATGCTTTTCATCAGGACTAGCCTCACTCAGGATCCAAGATTGGGAACCATATAGCCCCAGAGCCAGAAGGGCCCTTACAGGTCATCTAGTCCAACCCAGAGGCACCCAAAACACAGGTAGATGAAGTGACTTGCCCAAAGTCACACGTGTAGCAAGAGGCAAAGCTGGGATTTGAACCCAAGTCCTCTGCCCCTATCCAATGTACCTTACATCTCCCTTAATATCTTTCCTTTGCTTAGAAATGAGAAGCAACTTGGCATAGTCAATAGAGGTTGCCCCTGAGTGAGGGAGACTTGGGATCAGGTGCTGCCTCTGACACATACTGACTGTGTGACCCAGGGAAAGCCAGTTCATTTCTAAGTGGCCCCAGGCAACTTTCTAAAACTGTAACTTGCAGAATAGCTGCTGATCAGCTTTGGAAGCAGGAGTTTCTTCACTGAGTACTCCCTACTTCAATGAAATCATAGGTCAGGACCAAAAAGGGAAAAAAATCGAATGTCAATCATTTTATTTTTTCGTACTCACACATCCCACCCCCTGTGTGTGACATTTACTAAAATAGCAACAATCCAATGAGCCTCCCCCTACAGACCCCAGGATCCAATGAACCCAGAGAGAAGAATGAAAGTTTCCAGATAGCCCAGGCAGGCATGAGATCATTAGTTCAACAAACATTTACTGAGCACTTACTTTATTCAAGGCACTTGAGCAGGTGTGGGATATTCAAAGATAAATAAGACCCCCATCCCTGGTCCCAAGAAGGTTGCCATCTAAAAGAGGAGATAAGACAAACACAGAAGTAACCATAATGCTACAAATGAAATGCTATGGGAGTTTCATGGAAGCAAAGTTCATTTTGTAGATAGGAAAATCAGGGAACAGAGAAGGTGGTTTTTGATCTGAGCCTTGAAAGATGATATGGTAGCCTAGAAACATATTTCTGCCCCTCTCCACTGCCACACACACACACCACACACAACACACACACACACACACACACACACACACACACACACACACACACACACACCCCCACCTACATTGCAAGCTCCATGACAGCAGGGACTGAATTCACCTAGCTCAGTGTTATGAACACAGAAGTCCTTAAACAATACTTTGCTACGTGGTTTGATAGTTCAGCAGATTGAGCTGATGATGACTCAAGTTTAAATCCAACTTCAGATAGTGACCAGCTAGCTCTGCGACACTGGTAACATCAGGTCTGATTGTCTCAAATTCCTCACCTATAAAATTAGGATAATAATAGCACCTACCTCCCAGCATTGTTGCCAGAATTACATGAAACATTTTTAAAGTGCTTTAAAGAGGCCTATTCATTGAATGAATAAGCATTGCCTCACTCAAAGTGAGAAACTGAAAAGACTTTAGCTTAAAAGGGCCAAGGTCTCCCTTTGCATCCTGAGCTATCTCCAGTGGACCCAGAGGGCTCTAGAGGAGAAAGTGAGGCTGGTGACTTTGCACAGCCCTCCCTCATTCAAATCAGTCAATTGCAAGTCGTGTCATCAGCTCCCTGACGTCATGGTCCTCTTTGAGAATGAAGGTCAAACACAATAAAAATGCTACTTATTATTATGTCTGAGATTCCCTTTTCTCTTATCCTGCTCCAAGGTTTCCTGCATTTTCTCCTACAACCGCACTTTGACTCAGAGTTCTTGAGTAATTCCACCCTGTTCCTTCACTCTCATACCAAGTGGAAGCTCTGAACCAAGACACAGTAGATGATTTACTTGGGAAAGGACATAAAGATCCAGGCTGGGGGTGGTGGTTTGGTGATAATGGGCCCTTGACCTCTGTTATATTCCAGCTCAAACATGCTATGAATCTTTGACCTCTCTGAGGGGAGTTATCTAACTTCAGAAAGGGTAGAGGCCTGACTTGAAGTCAAGCAGGAAAATGACTAGGTAAGAGCTTGGGGGGAAGGACGTAATTAGAGATTTCCAGGTCCTGGGACTATGACTATTGTCATACGTCATATGACTATTCTATCTGCTTCTTTTCCTCAGCAACAATTTGAGGTGCCCTCAATAGCCTAGAGAATCATAGGCTATTATTCTTTATCAAGAAGAAAAATGTCTGGGAAGAACAGGTCCCAGAGGTCCATTCTGATAAGATTGCAACCCCCACCGCCCCAGTCACCCTATTCCCCTTAACTTCCAGGCTGCATTTTTTAAAAACACTTTCAACAAGTGAATGATTATCTTGGGCAAGGGTGAGAGGTAGAGGTGGGATGCGGTGAGACATAATCACTTACCAGAGGCACACATCTGTTGGTTTGGCACATAGACTCCAAAGCAACATATGTAAGTTTTGCAGTATGGTTTGGTTTTGTTTTTAAATTTTGGTTGTTTTTCTTTGACCTGGTACCTCAGGCAGAAGTCTCAACTGAGAAAGCTAAGTAGACCTCTAAGTGGCTGTCACAAAATGTTAGTATAATCTTGTGGCTCTTTTCCCTCTTAGAGTCTCTGCTATTGTTAGTTGGTGTCTAATTAGCAGAAGGCAGATAACACAAGGCAGATTCCAGAAATATGCAGACACAATTTCTACAAACTGGCTGCCTCCTTCTTATTATGTCAATAATGAAGACATTCCTATCGTTACCTTGGGACTGCATACTTGATAAAGACCAGCAGAATGTGCCAGGTATGCTGAATAAACAAATCAAGCAGGGATGGTAACAATCTCAGCCCAAATATTCACATTACATCAAGCTGAGGGGAAAAAACTGAAACAAAAACAAGAATGGAAGACAACAATAAGAATTTTCTTCTTTATCTGAGCAAACTTATTTGTTTATTTGTTTGTTATCTTTATTTTGTTTTGTTTTTAGTCTTGATGTGTGATTTCATGGCGTGGGGAACTAACAGCACGAAAAAATCTCTCCATTGATATGACCCTAAAGTCACCATACACTCTTCTAGTAGTACTCTTCAGCATAGTTCTTAAGACCCTTGGGGTCCCTGAGAACCTTTCAGGAGGTCTACAAGGTCAACACTATTTTCATAATAATAGTAAGATGTTACTTGTCTGGTAAAATACTGTTCCCTTTTCCAACTACATAACCGTGCAAGGACCAAATTTCTTCATATCAGTCAACCAAGAAACACATCACAACAAATTGATTGTAGAATGCTATGAGCTGTCTTCTATTAAACCAGAAATTAAAGAGATTGGGAAAAAAATGTAAAACAATCCACTTTTTTCACTATTTTTTTGGTTTGGGGAAATATAGTTATTTTTCATTTTTAAAATGTCATGTTAACATGTAATAGGTTTATTATATTTTGTATTAATTTATAAGTAAATAGTTTTAAATATATCAGGTTTTTTTTTCCTAACATGGCAAATACTCATAGACATAATATACATAAAGAAAAACTCTTTGGAGTCCTCGATAATTTTTAGGAGTGTGCCTGGGTCCTGATACTACTGCTGCTCTATTCTATAGCTCTCTCTCTTTGGGTTCAATTGAATCTATTACTCCATCAATAAATATTTGTCAAGCACTGTCTATCAATTCAGTTAAAGTACCTACTATGTGCAAGGCCCAAGGAATAAAATTAACAAAAATGACATAGTCTGCATCTTCAATGAAATTACATGTCTCCCTGTATACGGTCTCTCCCCTTTCCAATCCATTATCCAAATATGGATCATGTTGATTTTCCTAAAGAGCAGTTCTGATGGAAGTGACTCCTTTGCTCAAGATTCTTCAGTGGCTCCTAATTTCCTTTAAGTTAAAATACAAACTTCTCTGTTTGGCATGTAAAACCTTTCACAATCTGGCTCTAGCATCTTTCCAGACAACTACAATTTACTCTCTGTTACCTTTGCTCTAGACAAGTTGTCGCAATTGCCTTTCCTGATTTCCTTCCAATTTTTAATGCCTCCACCCAAGTCACTATACTTACTGGGTTTTTTGCATCCCTGTGTTTTGTTATCTGTCAAGGTTTTATCACTCCCTAGCAAAACATCAGCTTTTTAAGGGTAGAGACTCTCTCATTTTCTGTAATTGTATCCACAGAGCCTAAAACAGTAGTACATTGTAAGCACATATTAAATGTTCATTAATTGATTGATTGACAGTGGACAGTCTAAAAGGGTAAAGGAAGTCAAAAAGGACAAACTGCAGGCTGATTGCTGTAACAAGGAATGAGGTATAGACCAATACAGTTGTCATTGGTCAAAGTGGAGAATTTGTCATTTGACTGTATGTATATAAATGGGATAAATGGGGGACAGGGGTTATCACTGGCTAATATAGCAATATTTCCTTTTCAAGTAATTTTTCCTCTGTCCATCTACCAATCTTAGCAGCATCACAGGAATCTCCAAGACAGGAAAAAATGCGTCATATTCTGTATGGTATTAGTCTCATCTCTATCTTTCTCAGGTTCCCTTTTCTAGAATGTGGTGTTGTTCAAAGATACTTAGTCTCAAGGAATGAAGGGATGGCTCAAATGATGAGGCATAGGAGTGAGAAGGAGCCACAAACTTGTTTATTGCATCTCCTCTTCTTATCACCTTATTTTTATTTGTCAGACGTTAATTAAGCTTTTTTTTATGCGTTCTTCACTGTCTTAGATGGTGAAGAACATAAATAAAACTTCCCTCAAGGTGTTTACAATCTACCAAGAATCATGAGTAAGTACAGCATAAAATAAGTTAAAATACCTAATCCAGCAGATTTTAGAAGCTTAAAATTGCACTAAGATTTTTGAAATGGTTTGTATTTAATAAGCTGCTAAGGACACAAAGTTCCTGCCCTTGGAGACTTCATATTCTACTAGAACAGACAGAAATATAAACAGATAAGTATAATGTGATAAGAGGCAGATAAACACAAATCCCATGAGAGTTCAAAAGAAAGAGAAATCTCTTCCAGATAGGGAGACCCAGAAAGACCTCAGGGAGGAGAAAACATTTGAATTGGTTCTTAAAGGATGGCTAACATGTCATCCCTATCCTTCCCCATCTCACCCTCTTATCTTGCAAGACATCCTTCATCTGGAGAATAAACATCTCTTTTCTATGATTATTTGCATTTTCCCATATGTGACTTTAAAAAAAAAACATTGTAACACAGATTTGCAATTGGTTTTAGTGAAGTCAATACGAATACATCAGCTTTGCCCGGGAGCAAATTTCTTCAGAATAGTTCCCTGCTAGGTATTGCATGCCGCTTTTAGATTACTACCTCGGGCAGATGAAGATTGTAAACAGGAACAAATAAGCAATCACCCTATGAACAGAATGCAAACCCCATCTTCTGAATGGTTTCCCTTGTATTAATTATCTTATGGATGTTGGCGCAATGCAGTGAGACTTTAACAAAGCCATGTGACTTCTCTCTCTTCTACTCCCTCCAAGTCCAGCAAAACAACTTTTCAATTATAAATGCAATCACTAAATGGTTCAACCTGGAAGGCAGAGGAAAATAATAGAACACAGAGCTTCTGCCCAGGGGCTACGAGTCTGAAGAGCACAACTCTTTGCTCCCTTATCCCAGCAGAGGGCACTCTAGGTGCTTCTTAAATTTCACAGCACATTAGAGCTTTCTACCCTGGGAAGCACTTACATACATGCCATTTTAGCCTTCAGAAACATTTCACTTTAAAGGTCGTTAGGAATGCATAACCTTCAGTTGAGGGAAGAAATGGAGTGTTTGTATTATCTCTTCCAGTTGCCCAAGAGGCATCTTTCATTTCCAGGCTCATGTCACGTTATTCCTCTCTTCACACACACAATCTGCCAGACGATATTTTTGTTCTCTAGACTCCTGACACCCTACACCTCTCCATCTCTGTGCCATTGAAGGTGCTGTTCCCTATACCTGGAATGCCCTCTGTGGAGGCAGCTTGGTGATGCAGAAGGAGTACAGGACCAGAGTTCCATGACAGCTCGACTTCTTAGCAGCATCACAGCAATCCCCCAAGGCCAGCTCAAGACACTGTGAGAAGCACTTACTGTGGAGAATGATCGTTTAACCTCTCCATGAAACTCACTTTTCTCAGGGTGAGAAAGTGGGAAGGGGACTGTCTACGATCGCTGAGATACTTTCCAGCTCTTAATCTACATCTTAACTTGCTGAATTCCGACTTATTATTTAAAGCTGACCCAGCTGAAGCGCCACGCCTTTCACAGAGCCTTCTCTAATTCTTTCCCCCAGCATTCCCCTCTACGCTTCAAAAAACACTTTATTTTCTGCCTAATGAACTTATCGCGTCATACTGTGTATCACAGCATGTAGTATGGAGGCCTTGAGTTCCTAGACTGTACGCTCCACGGTTTCTAAATTTTCTATCTTCCTTATCACCCAGAATAGTGCTCAGTACACAGCGGGCATAATAAATGTTTGTTAATAACAGGGATTTTGATTAGCTTGTCATCTCTAGGGTAGCATAGGAGGAAGAGCACTGGACCAGGATTCAGGGGATCTGAGATCCACAGGATCAAAATTTAAAGCTGAAAGGGACCTTGGCATCCAAAGCCCTCATTTTATAGGCAAGTGAAGTGAGACCTGGAAGGTTAAGTGACAGGGTCAAACAGCTAATAAGTGTCTGAAGCAGGATTTGAACTCAAGTCTTCCTAACTTCAAGTCCAACACTCTACCCATTCGACCATCTTACCCTAAGACTACGAATGATCCAGAACTGAACAAGGATGAGATTTGAACCCAAACCTGCAGAGTACAGAGCACGGTGAATTGGCAGCCATTTCCTTTGTCACTCACCAGGAGGTCTAACGTTGCTTAAGCTGAGTTCAAGTGAAGGCATTTGACTAGATGGTCCTTTCTAGTTCTAACCAACATAGGCATATTATCCAGTGTGCATCATGTGAAGAAGGAAGAAAAGGAAAGAGGAAAAAGAAAAGCAGAAGGACAGGGGGAAGAAGCAGAAAGAGGAGGAAGAAGAGGGAGAGGAAAAGGAGGAGGAGAAGCAAAGGAGGTAGAGAAGGAATCAAGTAGAAGTTTCTACTACAGCTACACACTTACAAAAGGAAGCCGACAGTTCAAATTAAAATCTGGCAGATCATTGATTGTTAAATGATAGCCTCTGATCAGACATTTCAATGAAATAATCAGGGAGTCTAAGTAAACAGGGCCCAGCAGTTTTCCATGATTCATCTGAAGGCTCTGATATTTTACAAATGAATACAGTTGAAATTAGATTCTTGGAGTAAATAGACAGGTTTGAAATGAAAGATAATGAACACTGCTGTAGATGCCACAACCAGCTTATTCCACTGGTAGATGACAAGTGCAGAAATGTGTCTCAGAAGCACTCCGGAGCACATACACATGGCAATTAACATCATTTTCTTTTGTTAAGGCTGCTCAGCCTGGCACTCAACCCAGCAGTTGCCCTGTGTGCAAAAATCAGTGGAGAACATAAGCAAGTTTTCCTTCTGCTTTTGACCTTAAGTACTAGGGAAACAGGACTCAAAAGGAGAGAAGAGTTGGTAGTTTATAACCATCAAATATCAGCCTCGAAATCTAAAACCCAACCTAGAAAGGTGGTGTAGCTGAGGACAAACCATGAGATCAGATTTTATGCATTGTTGCTATGCTAGAAGCCTCCTTACAGAGCACTCAGATCAATACACAGAATGATAGATGGAAAGTTTCAAACCAGCTGACTTTGACTTCAAGATACATGAGGAATGTGCCGGCCACCATAAAGCTAAGTCATTAAGCTGGAAACTCATTTAATAGGTGTTTGGGGA